GTCCCATAAAAAAATGAAATTTTTATACTCTGCACTGATACTTATAACCTGAGCCCCAAAATAGCACATCTGGAGTTCAGTCTCATAACAATACTTTAGTGAAATTGTTGCTTACTCAACTGTGAACAAGAATACACATACGCACACATATTCTTCCACAGTCAAGGAACAGTTTTCACCATTAATGCAACCCAAATTCATACTTAGAAAACAATAATTTTCTTCTTTGTGTGTTTTCTCATTCTTACATGTAGTTTGATTACTCAGAGTCATAGTGTTTCAGATACTTCTTTTTCAAATCTTACGTTGTCATCTCATCTCTGCTTTGCTTGTCACACCTGTCTCTTTCTAGTGATTCTCTAGAACCAAAAAAGCTGCCCCAAGTGTATTAAGCTGCTCCAAAAGTATATTAATTATTTCACCTCTTGCTAAATTATTTTAAAAAACACTCCTTATAACCTTGAAATCATTTTTCCTAGACTGATCAAGTTTTGAATATCTTAAAACTAAAAGTTTTCCAGGACTTAGGCACAGAATATCATATGTTCACCACTCTCCCAGCAATCTCTTTTGCTCACCCTCACGCATCTTGTAGCAGAGATCTCTGCATGCCTTCATATACCCCATATCTGTTTCACCTATAAGGCTCAAAATAATCTTAATGGGTGCTTGAAGAGAACAGAGGGAAAGGAGGAGCATTCTGATGCTGGCTACATTCAGTAGGGTGATTTTTTTTCCTTGTTTCAGTAAACATTTGTTAAATGCCTGCTCTTGCAGAGGCCATGCTAAGTGTGGGATTCGATGAAGAGAAAATAAAACCTCTCTCACTGAAGGGAGTGACAGAGTGGGCAAATTAAGTAAGGAATCTTGGTGAGGACCACAAAGATTAAGATTATCAGTTGAGGGGCGCCTGGGTGGCTCAGTGGGTTAAAGCCTCTGCTTTCGGCTCAGGTCATGTTCCCAGGGTCCTGGGATCAAGTCCCATGTTGGGCTCTCTGCTCATTGGGGAGCCTGCGTCCTCCTCTCTCTGCCAGCCTCTCTGCCTGTTTGTGATCTCTGTCTTTCAAATAAATAAAACCTTTAAAGAAAAAAAAAAAAGATTATCGGTGCAGACTGGAAAAGTAAAATGACAAAGGAGGACCAAGAAAGTAGCTCAACTAAAATAGGTTGGAATATGACACATTTCCTGACTTCACACAGTCAGGGATCTAGAAGAAAAAGGAAAAGTGAGTTCCATCACTAGCTCTGGATTCTTCCTTCCACAACATTCCAAAGGCAAAGTGGTCCCTGCTTAATCATCCTTTTCATTATTGTTCAGTGTGTGATGCTCATATTGGAATGACAACAGTGAAAATGTGTTTCTGTTTCATCAGACAACCACACTAATATGTTTGTCTTTTCTATTAAAGCAAGACCTGAGAAATCTAAGAGTAAGTTCCATGTTTCTCTCAATTATATTGTTAACATTGTTTTTTTTTTTATGGAATCTAGAAGCCGTTTTGTGCTCTGCTTTAGTATGAATGCACCAAGACTTAAGATTTATATTTCTGACTCTGTAGTTTATTAATATTTTCAGCATTTCTCACCTTCTAGCTTCTTGTTTCTCTATTCTTATTTCCAGTAGTTTGTTCCATTTTCAACTATCAAGGTCCATTTAGAGGCTATAATTGAAACTAACTGGTACTTAATGTGGTACTATAATAATAAATATTATTTATTCAGTTTTAATTTAATATTAATTTTTATTTTTATATAATTTTTATTTTTGTATTTATTAATATTTATTCAATGTACAAGGCACTATACTCAGCACTTTATGTATGTATATACATTGTGTCAGATAAGGATTGTTATTCCTATTACAAAGAGAATAAAAGAGTGAGACTAGGTAACTTGCCCATGATGCCACAATATAAGCAGCAGAAGTTGGGATTCAAATCCAGGCTCTAAAGGTCCAGTAGTGCCCCCCTCCCAGTCAAATGGTGAGAAATACAGTCACCCAGCCCTACAATATGTATGTTTATAGGGAAAAGAGAAAACTTTCTAAAATTAACATAATGAACAGCAATTAGCAAAACAAGAATCATAGCAATGCTCATGACAAACCAATACAATCATTCCAAAGAAGTGATGGGGAGAGAGGAATAGTAAGAAGAAAACAAAGTGTCAGTAACATGAAAATCTCTCTAGTTGATGAAGAGTTTGAATTAGCAGAGAGAAACCAGAAATAGCATCTCCCATCTCTTAACCTTTCTTTCCAAAAAGGCATCCAAATTAAAAGGGACATTAGCAAAACAATGTGAAGATATTCACTCTCAAATCATATTGAACTGATTCTAAGTGCAGCATCTGGTGGTCTCTCTTATTTCAAAACTTCTAGCATAAATTTTGAGAAGTAACTCCGCTGTTCATCCAGAAATCTTTCACTCACTCACTCATTTGATTTCTTTTTTGCAGTAAGACAAGAAGAACCAAGTAAGTTCTATATCTATTCATCAATTCTGGGGTTGGTTCCAACATTAGTTATATCCTTTTCTGAACACGAAAGATCTTAACATTCAAATTTTTCAAGTTTGTCTCTCTTGTTTTTATATTAAATAACTTCCTCTGTAATAACAGAGGAATTATTTTAGAAAGTAAAAAAACCTACGGAGGGCAAACCAAATACTGAGCTGGTTAAAGCTGACCTGGAATTAGAAATAATGCTTCTGAACATTTGTTGTAAATTGTCGCCTATGGAAAAATATGCTAGATGTAACTACTTTACTAGAGTTTATAAATGGTTTTGGTAGAAAATTTTAAATGTAGGAGATGTCAGAAATAAAATTCAATTGGCAGAGTTAAATCAATTGAGATCTTAATTAATTAATTAATTATTCACTTATTGAGGGCTACAGCAGGGACCAAAACTGAAGAAAATAACTGCCCTCTGGGAGTTTACATATGAATTTAAACATTCCTGACACCCTTCTTCAGAGAAACTGGGGAGAATGCAAAGAAAAAGTAGTTCATTTCTCCCACTTCTAAAAATTGAGCTCTTGTGTCTGACATAAATGCTTGAGCAGTAATTGAGAATATATTTGTATTCAGTCATTGAACAGTATCAATGGCAGTCATGTTCTCTGTATCCACTTTACGACACCTGCAATTCTAAGAAACTCCCTTTTTGTTTCTGTTATGCACTCATTGTGGGTTTTTTTCTCCCTAAATGCAGCTGTTTCCATTTCAAAAGAAAGATAAACATTATATTTCCCATACCCTCTATTCAGAATCCTACTAGAATATCTATGATTTTATATAAAACAGAGACCATAAAGATTGGTGGAAAAAGGGGCGCCTGGGTGGCTCAGTGGGTTAAAGCCTCTGCCTTCTGCTCAGGTCATGATCCCAGGGTCCTGGGATCGAGCCCCGCAACGGGCTCTCTGCTTGGCCGGGAGCCTGGTCCCTTCCTCTTTCTCTGCCTCTCTCTCTGCCTGTCTTTCTGCCTACTTGTGATCTCTGTCTGTCAAATAAATAAATAAAATTTTAAAAAAATTTAAAAAAAAAAGATTGGTGGAAAAAATAAACATGATTGATTTTTTTTTTTTCTTAGTTAAAATGTCCCACTTAAAACAAGACTTTATCTACTTAAAAAGACTCATGATAAGGACATAAAAGAGATCACATACTATAGCCTGAGGAAGGAAGCAGGAAAAATCAGATTTATCCTCATTTCTAACTGGGCTGGTGCCACTCCTATGCACTGATCTTTGCTTACACATTGACCAACTTCTTCCCTCTTGGATTACTGAATAATATCTGGAAAATGAAACTGAGAAACAGAAATAATTAAGAGTGAGATGAAAACTTCTTTGGATTGCCTCTACTGACTTTTCAACAAAATACACTTTCAACTAAATATAAGGTAGAAATCACAGATAAAAGTAGGAAAAGTCATGAAAGAGTAAGCAATGAGAGAAGGGAGCAGAATGAAAATGGAAGCAAAATTTATAGAAAATGAGGCTTTTCCAGCTCTGTGGCATTTCAATTTGTGAAAGAAACTGGATGATAAGAGAAAAATAACACTTCTTTGCCACTTTTTCAAAATAACTATGTTACTACTGGAAAAGAGAGATTAAAGTAACTCAGGTCAAAGTTCTGGAGTTTACTTTCCCTTTTCATTCTGGAAATTCTTGTCTGGAAACAGTCTCAGTAAGATTATTATCAATGTCAATTTCATTATCAGTGTCAACCTATACTAATAATTTGTATTTGCATTTTAGCACATGGAGCAGTACCTATCTGTAAGTCCCTTTTGTTTTCATAAATCTGGTACAAGTTGGGATCCCAAAATAAGGAGAACATTTTTTCTATCTTTGACCAATTCCATTCAATGCTTGTATTTATAAATACTTCCTCTCCCTCTTGGTAACTTGCTGGGTAATTACTCACTCAATAGAAAGAATAAACATTTGACTAAGAGACTAAGTATAAAAGAAACATTTTGTTTTCTAAAAATAATTTCGAATACCATTTAATAACAAATAAAAATTGCCACACAGCCAAAAGGAAAGATATATAATATACAGTGGGATATCCCAAATGTGGAGATAGCAACAGAGGATAAAGGAAAAATCAGGAAGATATCTAAGGTGTAAGGAAAGGAAAGAGAATAACCACAATTAGCATTCAAATTTGCTATTGTTTAAAGTTCTCTGCAGGATTTAAATCCTTTATACTAGATGAGAAGAAAAAGAATGGCAGAATCACAGATGTCCCAGCCTGCTCTGTCTTTCCACTAAATTGAAATATATGAAAGCCAGTTAAGTCAGACTGAAACTATTCTTGTACCACAAAAGAAATACTAATCCCTCTTATCTTACTGTAGATGTTTTTAATGGGGGAGGTTTGGTGTCTCTCAAAGATCTCTTTGCTAATAATACCTTGGAAAAAGAAAAGAAGAACTATATTTTTGGTCAAAAACTCTGGTTAATGTATTTTTATTCATGTTTTTCTGCCAGTTACTCCCATGCCTGTTGGTAAGTTATTATTCATCTATTTCTCTTTTCTTTATTCATCTATTTCTTAATTCCAGTGTCCCTTAGAAAAATTTCCCTGAAGCAAAGTGTTTCACATTCATGTTTTCAAGCCCCTTTACCTCCCCATTATCTAGTACCTCTTTAAGTTACAAATTAATTTAGAAACTATAATATGCCCAATGCCTAGGTAAATAGATAAATAAATGATAGAAAATTAAGACCCTGAGGTAGCATTTTTCACCTAATAAAAAGAAAAAATTAAATATGAAAAGCAATGTCAACAATGCTTTGATAAAAAATATATATTTGTGCATCATTGATCCCTTTTAAACTTATGTGAACCTTTTAGAAAGCAAACTTACATTTTGTTGCAAGATACAATGAAATACAGTATCTCTTAAACTCATAATTCCATTTCAAGAGATATGCTCTAAGGAATAATTCTAAATATGAAATAAAACCATATATATGATATTAAATTATAAAACCAAAATTGGCTAAGGTAATATATTGCAATGGTTAATAAAGTAATCAGATCGACCTAGGTTCAGATCTCAACCAGAACACTTAACCAGATATGTGGCTCTGGGTAAAGCATTTAATTTCTCTAAATCTTTAATCTGTGTAACCTCTAGGGCCTTTAAATTTGATGTTTTCACTGTCCCTATTCCATATTACTGGAACAACGGATTTATTTACGTATAAATCAGTGGAAACCCTAAACCATGACTGTTAAAAAAAAAAAAAAGAGAGAATTAGGGAAAACAAGTTTAAATATTTTGCCACAAAAACCAAGCTACAAGGGAAATCTAAAGATGAAGAGCAAGAAAGAGCGGAAAAACCAGGACTCAGCCACAAGAGTAAGGATATGAAAATTGTGAAAATTCAAATGTGGCAACACCTGATATTTTCCTCTTACTAGGGCTTCAAAGGTTCTACTTTAGCATACTTTTCAGTGGATGATTTCCAAGAGAGACACTTTCAAAAATTACCCATGAGTGTGGAATTTTTCCCCCAAATTTCCTAAGAATTGTATATATTTCCCTGTCTTTATCAAAACCACCTAAAATAGACTTAAATTTTTCATGCTCTATTAGTAAAGGATGATGACTTTAACAACTCAATTACTCGAAAGACCATAGTAGTTACTCTTCCAAAGTAATCTTTCCAGAGAGGATCTATTTGTCTGTTTTGGGTTTTGTTTGTTTGGTTGGTTGGTTGGTTGTTGTTGTTGTTTGATTAAAGTATAGTGGACACACAGTGATTTCTACAGGTATTTCAGGCATACAATAAAATGACTGGACAACTCTGTACACTATGCTATGCTCACCACAAGTGCAACTACCATTTGTCACCATACAATATCATTGACTATATTCCCAATGCTTGTGTATTTTTGGCTTTGATACAGGATTCTGAAGTACCTCTAGGAGTTTAGTCCCTTCTTTGGTGGTCATAAATGGCTTCAAAGTTGACATAAGCTAGTGCAATCACTAAGTGTTGTGAGAGAGCTGGGTATTTTTACCAGATTATATAACCTTTGTCCATTGTTACCATAATTAAGAGCACTAGAATTAAGACAAATTCTGTTCAAGACCCTAGGTGGAGGTACGACTTTGACTCGGATGAAATTTTCTATATAAACTCAACAGCTGCCTGTCTTTCAGCAGCTCTCCATATTCCCTCTACCTCATATAAAAAGGGCAGCCATTTCCATCGAATGACTGTATTTCAACTCTTTTCTAAAGGACCGATGAGCAAAGAATGAATCTTTATTTTATTTTAATAACAGTCTTTACAGTCACTATTAGCTCAAAACTCATAAACAATGCTTATCCACAATGACTGTAAGAAATTAATATTTGATACTCACTGGAAACTAGTATCCAGACATTAATGATTCCTAATAACATAACTAACAGTAATAGTTTGGCATGCGCTCTGTTGCCTGCAATTATATAAAGTTGGGGGTATACTGATGCCTCCAGCTTTGTCCTCTGTCCTTTCCCAAGGTTACTGGATAAAACAATGAAGGAATCGATATATTTATTTGCAGATGCCTTCTTAGAAGGGAAGATAGTTTCAGGAATTCTTTTCTACTTCTGCTATAAAGAATATGATTAGTAATTGAGTTTGGTGAAGTTAAATTCTGTGTTAGGTTGATTAGAGTTTTGTTTTGTTTTGTTTCCCCCCCCAAAACCCTCAACACCATTGCTTGGCAATTCTAGCATCCTTTGGACTCCCACAGGGTTGAGGTTTCATGCTCTCATGGGCTATAATCACTTCTGTTAGTGCAAACTTAACTGGCATATTTTCTCATCTCTTTGCTCTTAGATTTTTCTGCATGTCCTAAAATTAATGATTTTAAGTGAAAAATCTATTGATGCAAAGGAAAAAAAGGACAGGCATAATATGAACTTTTCAATTAAAAAAAAAAACAGATTTCCTAAAGTAATAAAGAATTTAGCTCAGATTTAAAAAAAAAAAAAAAAACCTAAAATAATAATGTTATGAAAAGTAAAGAAGAAACCAGAAACATTATGAGGTAAGAGACTGAAATGGGAAGAAAAGCAAAATAAGTGAAATCTAAATAATCATTGCTAGCTCCTAAGGAATTTTAAATTATCTAAAAAACTGATAAGAAAAGGAAGAGGGGCTAACCTCAACTCCATTTTGTTTACTCTAAAGTTAACTATCATGAAAGATTTAGGACTAATGAAGAGGATCAGGAGATTGAAACTCTTGGGATTTCTCATTTGTTATTATAACTGATTTTCACTATACCCTATTCTCCACCCTTGAAAGATGTGCAAGAACCATCATCTTACATGGTTTACAGGTCTTACTTGTGCTACTTCTTAGGTCAGATTTAAAATTCTGATTAAATCCCAGAGATTATCAGAAAGAAAAAGAAACACATACAGAAATATTATCATGACAAAAGTGTTTACGTTGATAGTTATAAACTTTCTGTACTGCAAAAAGGAACATGATGAGAGCTGACATGGTGACAGTTTTGAAAGGAAGATATAATGCTGAAAGAGAAGAAAATGAAGAAGGAACTTAAGTTACTAACCTTTAACTGGTAGTCAGTTTCCTGCAAGATTGTGACCCTTGGACATGGTTAAGAATGTTAAAAAAAAAAAAAAAAGTTATTGCATTAGAGAAAGTAACTTAACTCATATAACTCATCAAACAAGCCTTCCAAAATAGCCTTAGGTTATTAAAAAGTAGTTAATACTGAATTAATAAGGTAAAGCATATTCATATAAGATTTCATGTTTCCCAAAAGTCCCTTTTCCAAAGTTCCAAGTAGATTTTCAATAGGAACTAAGTACATAATTTTTCAAAATAATAATGTATTTTATTTTCTTTTTTAGTAATTGGTCCAGTTGCAGCTGGTAAGTTTTAATTGCTTTTTCAGTGTCCTCTGGTCCTCTGTAACATCTGGGTTCCTTTACTTACACTAATACTTTTCACACCTGACCAGTCTGAGCCCTGAGAGATTATTTTGCACCTCTTCTCCTCCACATTTTCTAGTATTCTTTTAATTTACAAATAGTTTTGGAGTGATGGGTAGTATATCAAAGGTCCACAGAACAGCAAAGACAATGAAAAAAGTTGTTCTTTGGTTACCATATTAAGTTACAAAAGAGAAACAAAGGGAAACAATGCTGATAAAATATGTTGGGATCAGATCACAGGAAAAACCATGGAAATAACACACTAATAAATTTATATTTCAGTCTGAAGCTCTACGGTCACAAAACAAAATTCCAAAAGATAAAAGGTGGAAAGCATATAATGAGAAGATATGAGTGAGAGCATTAGGAGGGACAGACTGCACATGCAAACAAAACACTAAAATAGAGTTGAAGACAAAAAAGAAAGGCAGATCTTTGTCCTCTCCTTCGTAAAGTTTATCATATCTAAACCTGAACCACCACTGCTGTTCAGTGAAAAAGGGTCAGGGTCCTTTAAAACCCTCTTCTGACTTCTTCTTCTTCAAAGAATTGATTGAGACTTGCCTTTCATACTATTCAGGCAAACTACAAAACTTGTGCTTCCATAAAAACAAACAAACAGAAGCTTTTGATCTTGATGAAGTCCCAAAAATTCATTTTCACTTTTGTTTCCTTTGCCTTTGGAGACATATCTTGAAAGAAGTTGCTGTGGCCGATATCAAAGAGGTTACTGCCCACATTCTCCTCTAGGATTCTGATGGATTCCTGTCTCATGTTGAGGTCTTTTATCCATTTCGAGTTTATCTTTGTGTTTATTGTAAGAGAATGGTCAAGTTTCATTCTTCTACATATAGCTGTCCAATTTTCCCAGCACCATTTATTAAAGAGACTGTCTTTTTTCCACTGGATATTTTTTTCTGCTTTATCGAAGATTATTTGACCATAGAGTTGAGGGTTCATAACTGGGCTCTCAACTCTGTTCCACTGGCCTATGTGTCTGTTTTTATGCCAGTACCATGCTGTCTTGGTGATCACAGCTTTGTAGTAAAGCTTGAAATCAGGTAACATGATGCACCCAGTTTTTTTTTTTTTTTCTTTTTCAACATTTCCTTAGCAATTCGGGGTCTCTTCTGATTCCATAGAAATTTTAGGATTGTTTGCTCCAGCTCTTTGAAAAATACCGATGGAATTTTGTTCAGAATGGTATTGAAAGTATAGATTGCTCTAGACAATAGACATTTTAACAATATTTATTTTTCTGATCCATGAGCATGAAAGGGTCTTCCATCTTTTTGTGTCTTCTTCAAATTCTTTCATGAGTGTTCTGCAGTTCCTCGAGTACAGATCCTTTACCTCTTTGGTTAGGTTTATTCCCAGGTATCTTATGGTTCTTGGTGCTAGATTAAATCGAATTGATTCTCTAATTTTACTTTCTGTATTTTCATGGTTAGTGTATAAGAAAGCAACTGATTTCTGTACCTTGACTTTGTACCTGCCACATTACTGAATTGCTGTATGAGTTCTAGTAGTTTGGGGGTGGAGTCTTTTGGGTTTTCCATATAAAGTATCATGTCATCAAGATCAAAAGCTTCTGCACAGTAAACGAAACAGTCAACAAAACAAAGAGGCAATCCACAGAATGGGAGAAGATATTCGCAAATGACAATATAGACCAAGGGCTGATATCCAGGATCTATAAAGAACTCCTCAAATTCAACACACACAAAACAGATAATCATCCAAAAAAAAAAAAAAAAATGGGCAGAAGACATGAACAGACACTTCTCCAAAGACACTTCTCCAAACACACACAAATTAAAAATAGAGATTCCCTATGACCCTGCAATTGCACTTCTAGGTATTTACCCCAAAGATACAGATGTAGTGAAAAGAAGGGCCATCTCTACCCCAATGTTCATAGCAGCAATGGCCACATTGCCAAATTGTGGAAAGAACCAAGATGCCCTTCGATGGATGAATAGATAATGAAGATGTGGCCCATATACACTCAGGAGTATTATGCTTCCATCAGAAAGGTTGAATACCCAACTTTTATATCAACATGGACAGGACTGGAAGAGATTATGCTGAGTGAAATAAGTCAAGCAGAGAGAGTCAATTATCATATGGTTTCACTTATTTGTGGAGCATCAGAAATAATACAGAGGACATGGGGAGATGGAGAGATGGGAGTTGGGGGAAATTGGAAGGGGAGATGAACCATGAGACTATGGACTCTGGAAAACAATCTGAGGGCTTTAGAGGGGTCAGGGGTGGGAGGTTTGGTGAGCCTGGTGATGGATATTATGGAGTGCATGTATTGCATGGAACACTGGGTGTGGTACATAAACAATGAATTCTGGAAGGCTGAAAAGAAATTTAAAAAGTAAATAAAATTTTTAAAAACTGTTGTTTTAAATGCACCAATTTAAAAAAAAACAAAGATTAACAAAACTCTTATCAATAAAACAAACAAACAAAAATAACAAAATAAAAAGAAAGATATTCCATGTTCATGAATAGGGAGACTCAATATTGTCAAAATGTTAATTCTTCCCAAAATAATTTATAGATTGAGTGCAATGCCATCAAAATTCAGCAAGGTGTTTTGTGGATATTCAAAAACTGATCCTAAAATTTAAATGAAGAAGCCAAAGACTCAGAATAGCCAATACAATATTTAAGGAGAACAAATTTGGAAGACTTATGCTACTACTCACCTTCAAGACTTACCTGAAAGCTACAGTAATCCAGATAGTGTGGTATTGGTAAACAAACTGACAAATCAGTGGAACAGAATAGACAGCTCAGAAACAGTCCCACATAAATATAGTCAAATAATCTTTGACAAAGGAGCAAAGGCAATACTATGGAGTAAAGATATTCTTTTCAAGAAATAATGTTAGAACAACTGGACATCCACTTACAAAAAAGTCAATCTTCCCCCATAACTTACACTCTTCACAAAAGTTAGTTCAAAATGCATCACAGACCTAAATATAAAATTCAAAATATAACACTCCTAGAAGATAACATCAGAGAAAAGCTAAATGACTTTGGGTATGGTAATGACTTTTTAGTATATTTGTTGCCAAAGTGAGTGCTGGTAACAACTTTTTAGATATAACCCTAAGGCATGATTCATGAAAGGAATAACTGATCAGCTGGACTTCACTAAAATTAAGAACATCTGAAAACAATCTGATTTTAAAACAGGCAGAGGATTTGAGTAGATATTTTCCAAAGAAGACATACAGATGGCCAACAGACACCTAAAAAGATCCTCAATGCTACTATGTTATCACATATCACTATGTGAACACAAATCAAAACCACAATGAGATATCACCTCACACTTGTCAGATGGCTAAAATCAAAAACACAAGAAACAAGTGTTGAGGATGTGGATAAAAAGGAACCCTGGTGCACTGTTAGTGGGAATGTAAATTGTTTCCTAGTGGATAACAGATGGAGGTTTCTCAAATTCTAAAAAAATACCATGTGATCCAATAATTTACCCAAAGAAAACAAAAACATTAATTTGAAGATATATGCACCCTTATGTTTATCACAGCATTATTTATAATAGCCAAGATATAGGAGCAACCTAAGTGTCCATCAATAGAGAAAAGATTAAGATAGATAGATATATCTATATCTGTATCTGTATCTACATATTACAGACACAAAGAGGATATGATTATGCCATTTGCAACAGCATGGACAAACCAGAAGTTATTATGTTGAGTACATACACACACACCATGGAATATTACTCAGCCATAAAAAAGAATGAAATCTTACCATTTGCAATGGCATGGCTGGAGCTAGAGAATATTATGCTAAGCAAAATAATTCACTCAGAAAAAACACAAATACCATATGATTTCACTCATTTGTGGACTTTCAGAAACAGAGCAAATGAGCAAAGTGGGAAAAAGAGAAAGACACAAACCAAGAAACAGACTCTTAACTATAGAGAATAAACAGGTGGTTACCAGAAGGGAGGCGGGTGGGGGAATAGGTTAAATCAGTGATGAGGGGGATTAAGGAGTGCACTTTTTTTTTTTTTAATTTTTGTGTTATATTAGTCACCATACAATACATCATTAGTTTTTGATCCAGTGTTCCAAGATTCATTGTTTATGTACAACACCCAGTGCTGCATATAATATGTGCCCACCCTAAGGGCCACCACCAGTCTGTGGTAGGAGTGAACTTATGAAGAGTACTGGGTAATGTGTGGAAGTGTAGGATCACTAATGTATACACTTGAAACTAATATTATACTGCGTGTTAACCAGCTAGATTTTAAATAAAACTTTAAAAAAATTTAAAAAATGACCCAACTTTATGCTATCTTTAAGAAATTCACTTCAGGGGCACCTGGGTGGCTCAGTGGGTTAAGCCGCTGCCTTCGGCTCGGGTCATGATCTCAGGGTCCTGGGATCGAGCCCCGCGTCGGGCTCTCTGCTCAGCAGGGAACCTGCTTCCTCCTCTCTCTCTGCCTGCCTCTCTGCCTGCTTTGTGATCTCTCTCTGTCAAATAAATAAATAAAATCTTTAAAAAAAAAAAAGAAATTCACTTCAAATTTAACAATAAAAAGAAAATGATAGAAAGTATATACCATGAAAGCATTATTTTTTATTTATTTAATTTATTTTTTTAAGATTTTATTTATTTGATGGTGAGAGAGAGAGAGGGAGAGAGCATGAGCCAGGAGGAGAGGCAGAGGGAAAAGAAGCAGCAAACTCCTTGCTGAGCATATAGCCCAATGCAGGGCTCGATCAAGGAACTGTGATCATGACCTGAGCGAAAGGCAGCTGCCTAGCAACCGAGCCACCCAGGTGCCCAGAAAATATTATTTTTTATAAAAGATAATGTGAACAGTACAGATAAAAGGTTGATATCCAGGATCTATAAAGAACTCCTCAAAC